ATGCCTTAAGTTTCCTCGTCTGTAAAACAAGGCTATTAATTCATACCTCACAGACTTTTGGTAAAGATTAAATGAGATAATACACTGAGGACTGAGATGATAAAAGCTAGCATGAAATGTTAGTTTTATAAATTAATTCACAATGTCAATGGCTTAATACAGTTCCACTTTCAAAGGTATTGTCATGTTAACAGTACACATAGATAGGAACTTCCAGTGCTGAGTTTTCTAGTCATTCATTCAACAAACATTAGCTGAACTCTAGTCCTATATACTAGGCATCCCTGCAAGCACTGGGATGCTGTGGTGAACAAGGAAAGAACATAAAGTCTAGTTACATTGTTAAAGTCATTAACTGAATTTATCCATTTAATTACAATGAGAAAGATACAAAATGAAGGAATTTATTCAAAAAGTGAGATATAGTTTCTAACACGGAATCAACAAAACCAGCAAAGTATAGCTTGGCATACAGAGGAACTTAATGTTTCTTCCTTTGTTATGTGTAAAATGATAGAAGTTATCTTGATTTCAACCCCAACATTCACTAGTGTCCATTCACTCAAGTCGTCAGGGCATATTAGCAGTGCTCTTTAAAACAGATGGTTCTACAAGCAGGACATATCAATGGCCATGGATGATGGGCCAAGCAGAATCCAGTAAGTCTTGCATTTCAGAAGGGCCTGTAATGTCTTCTTTTGTTGTTACATAAACAGAAGTCAGTTTAACTACAGCCACAGAGACACTGGTGAACATTCACAGTAATGTCCACCTTGCACCCCTTTAAAGAACTATACCACCAAGGAATTAACATTTAAAATAAGTACTGTAAAGAGCCTAAAGAGAAAGAGAAGACATCTAGAGTCTCCAAAGACAGGGAGGCTACAAATTTTACTGGTTTTGGAATTAAATGTCCCTCAGAAGTCATGGTCTAACTAAAATCAAGTAAAAAGGGTTTAGTTTCCTTGAGTGTTGCAATTTAGTTTTTGAAAGTCAACCACCACTTGGCACTGTGGAAATCATATTGTGTCCGCCTTAAAAGAAAGTTATCCATAACAGAGAACCACAAAAGATTTCAATAAAACATCCATTAAACAACACAATATTCTCATGCTTAGTCAACTGAGTAAAGGGATAAAGCAGAAATGCCGAAATCACTATTTCAAAACAAGAAAACTAGAGTTTCAAGAAAATGCAGAAGTATCTACTTATTAATCCCTAAGAAAATATCTAAGATTCAGATTGGCACAACAGATCTAATAGGATTTTTAAAAATGCGGATTGAGATTATTTTTCAAAAATGTTAATTGAAAACAATTAGAAAGTAAACACTGGAAAACAATTTTCATAACAGAACATAACTTTTTAAAGTATCTTGCCATCTTAATTTTATACTGCATAAATTCCAACTGCCCTGTATCCAAAAAAAGTAAATAGATAAGAATTTTGTTAATTAATACTCTCAAAACTGTAATTTATAAAGATGAAAATTATGTGAAAAGAAAATGTTTTTTTAAATGTCAGCCTTAACAATTCTACATGGCATTCCCTCTTCTGCCTTCTACTGCATTCTCCACCCACAGTAAATTGTACCTAATAGCACAAACTGAGATCCCGACAAAACAGAATGCCAGAATCAATGGAGGAAAAACCTACACACTCCTACAAACTCATCTGTCGCTAGTCTGAAGAGTGACCAGTCTTACTTTACACTCACACATATCACTTAAAAAGGTTTCCTCAAAACTCAGTATTCCATAGGCAAGAAAAATCTAGCCTAAGATTTCATAAACTGCCTTAGCCACCCACTTCTACCTGCCAATGGGAAGTAGAATTAGTGATAAAGACTACAAAGAATTACCAATTCATGGGAAGGGGGGGCATAAACACATTAGACCACTACTTCAAAACAACTCAGAGAGCAGAGTATAAACCAAATCTTTTTTTTTTAAGATTTATTTATTTATTTATACAAGAACTGGGGTACAGGCCAGATGTGCGGGAGGGTGAGAAGATTCACCAGAGACAGAGCGGGGAACAGAACAGGCAGACTGACGAAATACACTGCTGAGGGGAGCAGCGGGTGCAACAGAAGAGGTCTGCCACGCCATGTGGGACACTCCGACAGCAAACCGGCACTGCAGAAGCTGCAGGACAGCTTCAGAGCTGCGCTCAACCGCCTGTGCCACCAGGGAGGCCCTATAAACCAAATCTTACTCTTCTTTTGACCCAGCAGCATGTTAAGACATAGTGAAGAGTGCAAAAGAACCAAACTCCCTCAAAGACACTGAGGAGCCACCAACTCTTTGTATCATATTCTACATCAATTAACATGATCATCAAGCTTTGTCATTAACTCTAAGGATTAACTTAAATAAAGATTGAAGAGGGGCCTCCTCGGTGGTGCAGCGGTTGAGCGCTGGGCTGCGAAGCTGCCCTCAGCCTCTGCAGCACCAGTTTGATCCCTGGCCGCTGGGCGAGGGTCCCACATGGGGCACAGACCTCTCCTGCCACCCGCTGCTCCCCTCAGCAGTGTATTTCATCAGTGTCAGTCTGCCTTTTCTGCCCTCCACTCTGGCTCTGGTGAATTCTCTCACCCTCCTGCGCCTCTGACTGTACCCAGTGCTTGTATAAATAAATAAATAAATCTTAAAAAAAAAAAAAGAGTAAAGAGAAGAGTTAAATTATTACCAAAATCCTCTACAGACGTATGTGAAGAAGGAACTAACAAGAACCATGTGAACATCTAAGGGCAGCAAAAAAAACAGCAGAAAAAACTCAAGGAAAGTATGATGTCTTCAGTCCCTAAAATGGCTCTAAGGAATGAAGGTCTGACCATGCAACAAAAAATTGTGACCCCAAAACCATTTACTTTCTTTTCACTGAGTATAGTTTCAGCCTGTCCCTCCATTTATGGTTCTCATTTCCCAAAATGCCCAGGCTGCAGCAGTTCACAATGTATCTATGTGCTCTTCCTTTTGATATAAAGCAGCAAAAGGAGAAATGAAAGGAAGAAAATTAATTTTTTAATTTAATTACTACTTGGTGATCATGGCTTCAATAACTCAGAAGAGGGCCTCCCTGGTGGCGCAGCGGTTTAGTGCTGGGTTGCGAAGCTGCCCGTGGCCTCTGCGGCGCCGGTTCGATCCCCGGCTGCTCCCCGGCCACTGGAGGAGGGTCCCACATGGCGCCCGCTGCTCCCCTCAGCAGTGTACTTCGTCAGTCTGCCTGCTCTGCTCCCTGCTCTGGCTCTGGTAAATTCTCTCACCCTCCCGCGCTTCCCACTGTACCCAGTGCTTGTATAAACAAAACAAACAAACAAACAAATAAATAAATAAAACATGCCTCTATAAAAAAAAAAAAAAAAACTCAGAAGAGATGAAAGAATTTCAAATCATCAAAAAAGAAATCTAACAATTGCAGAAGCAGGTCACCAAAGGACAATAAACAAAATCAACAAAAAACAAATAAACAAAATAATAAACAAAAAACAAATAACAAATCAATAAACAACAATAAACAAATAACAAAACAATAAACAAAATCATTAACAAGGATTTTGCACAAATGCTATTTTATGCTTAATAACTTAATATTGATCAGCTAATGAAAATGTGGCCAAGAGATTGTCATTCTGGTTATTTACTGTTACTTAAAAAAACAAAACAGAATAAAGCAACCGCACCCATACTACTGGAAAAAAACTTCTTAATTTGTTTACCCAGGCAATCTCTTACTAAGAGAAATGCTTTGCAACGGATTAGGGGTCTGTAAGTATTTTGCAGTGTGTTATCAGTCTCAAATCAGTTTATTTTCTCCCTAGTGAACAGACTATTTCACTACAAAGTCAGGCTTGCCATAATAACAGCATCTTTCCCATCGTATTCCCTCACTCACCACTTCCTGCAATGCAATTACACTCATCACTTCTAATACTTTTACCTCTAAAACATTTTTTGAGATTTTTAAATATTGATAAGTGACGAATTAATCATTTCTTTAAATAGTTTTATTCCCAGAAACGGGGCAGAAAAGACGGTATATTTCAGGGATTCAACTGTAATAGCAAAACCTGGGTATTGCAAAATAATATTGTCTTTCAGAGTCACGCAACAACCCATTTTAAATCTCAGCGTGGGGACATACGTGAATCCCTCTCACAGCTTTATTTGGAAGAAATTCACACACACACACACACACACACACACACACACACACTCACCTTTTTTTAAGAATACGGATTTGGGATTTAAGAATACGGGAAAGGATTTTATCTCTCAAAAAATGCCCAGGGTTTGCAAAGCAAACTAGGGCCCCTGGAATGAAACATTTCCTCGGGGAGCAACTGCAACCCCGTGGAGAGGCGCTGGCACCGGGAATTTGAGACTTACTCTGTCCACACCTGTGACCCCCCCATCGGCCTGGCTAGATTTTGGGGGGAAACGTCAAGCTGCCCCCTTTAAAGAGACGTTCCTTGAGAAATGGTGTGAAACGAGACTTCCCTGAAGCGGCGAGAACGGCCTCCACGCGCACCTAACAAGCCCAAAACCCGGGGCTCTGGAGCTCGCGGAGGCGAACCCCGACGCCCGCGCCCCGGCCCCCAGGACACGCCGCCGCTCGGGCTCGCGCGCGGGCCGGGCGCCCCGGGCTGTCCGGTTTCACGTGAAGTGTAAAGACTAGAGCTTCGGAAGGAAAGTTCCAGCCAACAGCAGCGCGGTCCGGCGTCCACGGACCAACGACTTTCAAAGTGAAACGAGCCGCTCCGTGGGCGCTCGCCGGGCCCCGCCGCCGCGGCCGGGGGTGGGGGGGCTGCGCGCGCCCCGCGCCCCGCAGCCCACGGGGCCGCGCCTCCCGCAAGCCCCGCCCCTCCCCCACCGCCCCGGCCGCGCGTCAGGCCCGGCGCCCCCAGCCCGAGCGCGGCCCCCCGGCCCCCGGTCTCCTCAGCTGCCAACCTCCTCGGCCCCTCCCCCTCAGAGGCGCCCCGTCCCCCGTCTCCTCACCCGGGGTAGCAGTAGACGCCGCCATGGCCGTAGGTGCCACCGCCGTCGCGCCACCCCCCAGTGGGAGGAGCCGCCGCCACCGGACCGGGGGGAGGGGGAGGGGAGGGCCACTCCCCAGACGCGGCGCCGGCCGCCGCCACCGCTACCGCGGAATCCAAGATGGCGGCCGCAGCAACCCCCTCCGTACCCAGAGCCGACGACGGGCAGGCCACGCCCCTGTGGGCGGGGTCACACCACGGCCCGCCTCCGGGAGGAAACGGGCCAATCGAGACCCCGAACCGGCCGGGGGCGGGGCTGGCCCCCGCGCCCGCGGGTCCCGGGGAGGAGGCGGGCGAGGGAGCGGTCCAGCTGTCTGCTTACACCCGCCTCCCGCGCGTCAGAGGTCAGTGGCCGAGGCTGGAGGAAAACAGTTTTGCTGAAAAGCCTTGCTGGCTTGTTCTTTGCCCGGTGGACGGCTCTGCATACGATCTGTTTTGCAATTCCTCTGTAGGTGCGCTAATGCTTGAACTTGACACGGTGATTTCTAAGCCTTTCTAGAGTTTTTAACCTCTATTAAGGACTTTTGACCCTGGTGAAAAAGATCAATAACTAATTTTTGAATGCCAGCTGTGGAACTGGTAGTGGAGAGGGTCTGGCACTTAGTCTGGTAAGGGAGATGGCGACTACCCGCCCAGCAGGCGATGTCTACACACCCTTTTTCTTTTTTCTGCTGTTACTTTCATTTGCTTTTATTTTATGCGGAATTTATTCCTGGGAAATCAGGTTTTGTTTCTTCGGTTTCTTCTGGGATATTTTTTCCTGCTGTGCTCCCCCTCCTCATCTGGCTTAGAAACAATCTGCTGTTTTTCAGATCAGTCTTTTCAGAATCAATCTGCTGTTGATTCGGAGTGGGGTAATTTTTTTGGTTAATGACAGGGAGGAGGTGAGAGTTTTTAGTAGGGCATTGATAGCATGAGGGCTGCACAGATTTACTTTCTAATAACAGGTACCATTGAGCACTTCAGATCAGACACTGTCCAAAGTGCTTTGTGTGTATTTATCCACTGAATCCTCATGAGAACACTGTGATGTCAATTCTATTACTTTACCCATTTTTCAGGTAGAGAAGCTGGAACTAAGAGATTATGCAAGGGACACTAGGTCAGTAAATTGGTGTGGGAGGTACGAAGTCTGACCCCGGGGACAGTTCACTCATCCTCAGTTCTGGCACTGGGGGGTACTAGCCTACCTTTTAAGATCTTGCACAATTAATATAAATTTAATTAGAATTTTAGCGGAAATCGCATCATGCTAGTAAATTTTTTTTTTGCTTTCACTATTATTAGCTTTTTATTTTATGCAGAATTTATTCCTGGGAAATCAGTTTTTGTTTCTTCGGTTTCTTGTGGGGTATTTTTTCTGCTGTGCAACCTCCTCTTCTGGTTTAAGAACAATCTGCTCTTTTTCAATAAGAATCAGCTCAGTGTGGCAGGGAGAGCACATCCATGGGTTAACTCAGCGGTGAGCTCTGTGAATTCTGTGCTAAGTCTTGGGGTCTTTGTACCTTCATGACCAGAGAATCTATAGATAGACCTTAAGTTTGACTTTAATCTCTGCATTTTTAAGTTTGTGCACTGAAAGTTCTGTACTCCTTTTGGGTCACCGACCCAAAGTCTAGCCCCAGCGTGTGGTCTGGGCACACATACCAGCTCCACCATCGCCATGACAGAGGAACACAGAGGAACACGTTACCTCCATGAAGTGACAATCTTCAGATTTTTGATGGCTCCTCAGCTCTGCACGCTGTTTATGGCCTGGGCAGTTTGAAGAATGTTTTAAAAATGAACACAAAGATTTTAATCTCTTGGTTTGCGTGATTTCGTAGAGTTTTCTGGATCTAGTAATATGGCACCATATTTTCGAGAGATCAAAGATCACTTGCAGGAAGAACTCTTTTCATTCTTATAGGTTGTATGTGGACCCCAAAGACTACATTTATCCATTTCTTTCACTTAGTCAGCAATAAATACAGTTTATCTCAGTAGATATTTTAACATAATTTGTATATTATTCTTTACCTTTGTTGAAACTTTTCTTCATTTCCGTTTTGTTGTGTTACATTTTCAATTTGCTAAAAAAAGAAAAAAAATCATCCCCTCAAAAAAATGTCCACTGAAGCATAAGAAGTAGTGATGAAAAAGTAACAAGTACTTCCATTCAAAATTATGTGGTAAAGCTAACAAACAAAACTGCAGCAGTGCAGATATATAATGTGAAGTATTATGTCTTTAAATGTAATTCATCCAAGCAACAAAAAAAGAAAATGTAAACAGGAAGTACAACTATGAATAACTAAAAATTTAATTTTATTGGTCCATCTGTCCCATGCCCACTACATCTTTTTTTTAAAAGATTTATTTTACTTATTTATGCATACAACAGCTAGGGTACAGGCCAGAGGTGTAGGGGCTGAGAGGATTTACCAGAGACAGAGCAGGGAGCAGAACAGGCAGATTGACTGAAATACACTGCTGAGGGGAGCAGCAGGGAGAAGGAGAGGTCTGCTACGCCATGTGGTTCAGCTCCCTGGCCGGGGATGGAAGTCATGCTACAGTGGCTGCAGATAGCTTCATAGTGCTGCATCTTTCCCTTGCACCACCAGGGAAACCCCTGCCAACTATATCTTAACTGTTAGAAAATGTTGTCAAACAGTGACTTGGAAAGCCATTGAAGCTTTCAAGTCGTCTTTTTTTTTAGCAAATCACAATAAGCTTACTGACAAGTAAAATACAATTTTCTAAAATGAAGGTAACAAGTCTGAAATGGATGAATTTATGGATTAAAAAAAGATGAAATGACATCCCTCAAAAGAGAATGCTGAAACTCATTTTGTCTCAGAGATGTTTGCACAACTACAAAGTTAATGGCAAACAATTTGCTTAGAGAAAGTGTAACAAGCTATTGGCAAAATTTCCTCATCAAAAATCACACTGATTCATGGCACGTGACATGTAAGGGCAATATCAACCCTGTACTTGCTGACAAATATTTGCCTTCCAAATGGGCACCACGCCAGGACCTCTCCTGTCTCAACTGCTGTTCCCCTCAGCAGTGTATTTCAGTAGATGTACCTGTTCTGCTCCCCACTCTGTCTCTGGCAAATCCTTGCACCCCCCACACCTCTGGCCTCCACCCCAGATCTTGTATGTAGAAATAAATAAAATAAATCTTAAATATATATATATATTTTGATGTAAGGCCTGACACCACAAAATACATACATGAAAACATAAGGAAAACACTTCATGACATTGGCTTCAGGGATGTCTTTGGGTATTCAACTACAATAGCAAGGACAACAGAAATAAAAATTAGCAAATGCAGTTACATCAAACTAAAAAGCTTCAACACAGTGAAAGGAACTATCATTAAAACAAAGATGCCCTACTAGAAAATATTTGTACATCATATATCTAACAAAGGGCAAAGAACACATACAACTCAACAAAAAGAAAACGAATAACCCAAGTCATGGATAGAAGAGCTAAGTAGACACTTTTCAAAAAAAGATGTACGGATGGTCAACAGTTTCATGAAAAAATAATCATTACCACTTATTGTCAGGGAAATGCAATCAAAATCACAATGAGATGCCACCTCACATCTGTGAGAATGGCCCATATTTTTAAAAAAACAAACCTGGAAACAGAAAGTGCTGCCTAGGATGTGGGGGAAACGGAGTCCTGGTTTCCTGCTGGGGGGATGTAGACAGGCCCAGCCCCCATGGAAAACAGTGTGGAGGTTTCGCAAAATATTAAAAGTAGATCTACCATGTGATCTGGCAATCTCACTTCTGTGTATCTCCCCAAAGCATGCAGTAACTCTAATTTTCAGGGATATATGCATTCCTGTGTTCATTGCAACACTGTGTCATAGCAAGTTCCGGAAACCACGTAAGTGCCAAAGGACACATGAGTCGTCTAAGAAAATACGCAACACTACTCAGCAAAAAGTAAAAGATGAAATCTTGCCATTTATGACAACGTGGATGGAACTGGAGGGAATTATGCTACATGAAATATGTTAGAAGGAGAAAGATACTGGATGATTTTGTTACAGAGAGATCTCCATAAGAGGGGGAGGTTCCATTTCCCCACGCCCACTTAGCTCAGGGTGGAGCTGAGCAGCCCTGGGGAAGCCATGCAACATGGAGGGCAGGTGGTCTCCGGAAGAATAGAACTTCTGCACTCTGGGGCTGCTGGGAAGAAGATGTGGAAGGAGAGACACAGAGACTCTCGAAGAGTCATGTGCATGAGAGGCATCCAGAGGCTGACAATGGCAGCCGTTATCTTGATGTGGTACCTCCTTTGTCCCAGCTTTCTGGGGCCTGCAAGGTACCTAAGACTATAGCAAGCTGTCAGGTCTCAGTGACCTCAATTCGGACCGACCTTCTTTGGGCATTTGCCCACGAAGGAAATATAAGTTGCTATCACCTTTTAATTGTGTAATTTGGCAATTCCTATTAAAATTCTTAATGTTCAGGGCCTCCCTTGGTGGCGCAGGCGGTTGAGCGCCGCGCTGTGAAGCTGTCCACAGCCTCAGTCTGCCTGTTCTGGTCCCACTCTGTCTCTGGTGTATCCTCTCAGCCCCCACACCTCTGGCCTATACCCCAGTTCTTGTATGCATAAACAAATCTTTAAAAATAAATGAATAGGGCCTCCCCTGGTGGTGCAGCGGTTGGGCACCGCGCTGTGAAGCTGTCCATGGTTCAATCCCCACCAGCCGGGGAGGGTCCCACATGGTGCAGCAGACCTCACCTGTCTCCCTGCTGCTCCCCTCAGCAGCGTATTTCATCAGTCTGCCTGTTCTGTTCCCCTCTCTGTCTCTGGTGAATCCTTTCACCTTACCGCGCATCTGGCCTGTACCCCAGCTCTTGTATACATAAATAAATAAATCTTTAAAAAAATTCTTAATGTTCATACTCTATAACTCAGCATTTGTATTTTTAATATTCTGGGGAGTTTATCCCACAAAAGCATTTCCATAAGTTCTTAGAGAAATACGTACAAAGATATCCATTGCAATGTTGGTATAATACTATGTTTGAAACATCCCAAATGTCCACTA